TGTGTGTGTGTGTGAGAGAGAGAGTGTGTGTGTGAGAGTGTGTGAGAGTGTGAGTGAGTGAGCGTGTGTGTGTGTGTGTGTGTGAGAGTGTGATGTGTGTGTGTGTGTGTGAGAGAGAGAGTGTGTGTGTGAGAGTGTGTGAGAGTGTGAGTGAGTGAGCGTGTGTGTGTGTGTGTGAGAGAGTGACGTGTGTGTGTGAGAGTGACGTGTGTGTGTGAGAGTGTGATGTGTGTGTGTGTGTGTATATATATGTGTGTGTGTGATGCTCTGAGTGTCCTGCAGGTGGCGGGACTTTCTCTGCTGGCGGTGGGTGTTTATTCCGCGCGTAACGCAACCGCTGTGGCCGGACGATACATCGAGGCGCGGCTAGGAAAACCTTCGCTAGTGCGAGAAACCTCACGATTCACTGTGGTGGAAGCCCTCAAACACCCCATCAAGGTACGACGATCAAGGTTTGATGATCACTTCCTGCGCAGACAGGAAGTGCGGTGGCACTCATGCACATATGTATCGTTTCAGATGGCGAAGCGCTTGAAGAGCAAGCCGCAGGACGCGCTGGAGGGAGTCGTGCTCTGCGTGAGTGTTTGCGCATCCTTCAACACACACACTTCCTGTTAGCGTGCGCGTCTCACTTCCTGTCTCTCTGCAGCCGACGCTGGAGGAGCGCGTGCGCGACATCGCCATAGCGACGAGGAACACGCGACAGAACCGCGGGCTGTACCGGAACATCCTGATGTACGGGCCGCCGGGGACGGGGAAGACGCTCTTCGCTAAGGTAACGCTCGCGCACTCATCTTCATACGCATCGTAGCGATGTAACGATTACCGGTAATCATGATTAAATTCCCCACGGTTAGTTTTACCGTTTCATATTTTAATTATTATAACCGTATTCGATTACCGTGATTTGAACAACAGGATAAATAAATACTATCCAGCATAAAGCAGAAAAAAACTGATTACTCCTGCACTCACAAACATTTCACTCGCACTGTGCCATCTAGGTCTCATCATTATAAGCTACTTGCAGCTTCTGTAAACTAGATGTTCTATAGATGAGCCACAGATGAGCAGTATAGAGTGTTTACAGTGTGCTTTAAACAGTGACACCTTCACCTCACCTGATCAGAAACTAAACTTACGTGAAAGTATATCCTCCTCATCTGTCATGAGCAGAAGCTGGCGATGCATTCTGGGATGGATTATGCCATCATGACGGGAGGAGACGTGGCGCCGATGGGCCGAGACGGAGTGACAGCGATGCACAAGGTGTTCGACTGGGCCGGAACCAGCGGCCGCGGGTCAGAGACACCACACCAGAACAATATACCACATTATTACCTCTACAATTACAGTACCTTCAGTTATATATATATATATATATATATATTATCAAATTGCCAGAGTTTTGAGAACGCAGCGGACGTGGAGGACTATAATGTAACAAGAGCTCGTTCAAATACTGAGGTGCTAAACCATTCAGGGCTTTATAAGTAATAAGCAAGATTTTAAAATCTATACGATGTTTAATAGGTAGCCAGTGCAGTGTTGACAGAACCGGGCTAATATGGTCATACTTCCTGGTTCTAGTAAGAACTCTAGCTGCTGCATTTTGGACCAGCTGGAGTTTGTTTATTAAGCGTGCAGAACAACCACCCAATAAAGCATTACAATAATCTAACCTTGAGGTCATGAACGCATGGATTAACATTTCTGCATTTGACATTGGGAGCATAGGTCGTAATTTAGATATATTTTTGAGATGGAAAAATGCAGTTTTACAAATGCTAGAAACGTGGCTTTCTAACGAAAGATTGCTATCAAATAGCACACCTAGGTTCCTAACTGATGTCGAAGAATTGACAGAGCAGCCATCAAGTGTTAGACAGTGTTCTAGGTTATTACATGCGGAGGTTTTAGGTGTGTGTGTGTGTGTGTGTGTGTGTGTGATGTTCTGCTGTTCTCCAGGCTGCTGCTGTTTGTGGATGAAGCCGATGCATTCCTGCGCAAGAGATCCTCCGTGAGTCTCACACTCCCTCACTGCGTATGTGTGTCTGTGTGTGTCGCTGCAGAGTCATGTGACGCGTGTGTGTGTGTGTGTTTCAGGAGCGGATCAGCGAGGATCTGCGCGCGACTCTGAACGCATTCCTGTACCGCACCGGAGAACAGAGCAAAAAGTAAACAATCACTCTCTCTCTCACTCATACACACACACACACACACACACACTCACACTCAAACTGCTGACAAGACGTTGATGTGTGTGTGTGTGTTTCAGGTTCATGCTAGTTCTGGCCAGTAATCAGCCCGAGCAGTTTGATTGGGCCATAAACGACCGGATCGACGAGATTGTAAACTTCATGCTGCCGGGACTCGAGGAGAGAGAGAGACTCGTACGACTGTACTTCGATAGATACGTGCTGGAGCCGGCTACTGGAGGACGCCAGTGAGCAACACACACACACACACACACCTTACGTCTGACCCTCCCCCAAAACACACTCACTCACACACATGCGCTCACTCACTCACACACACATACTCGCACGCACTCACTCACTCACGCACACACACGCACTCACTCACACACACGCGCTCACTCACTCACTCACACACACATACTCGCAGCACACACACGCACTCACACACACACACTCTCTCTCTCTCTCTCTCTCTCTCTCTCTCTCTCTCTCTCTCTCTCTCTCTCTCTCTCTCTCTCTCTCTCTCTCTCTCTCTCTCTCTCTCTCTCTCTCTCTCTCTCTCTCTCTCTCTCTCTCTCTCTCTCTCTCTCTCTCTCTCTCTCTCTCTCTCTCTCTCTCTCTCTCTCTCTCTCTCTCTCTCTCTCTCTCTCTCTCTCTCTCTCTCTCTCTCTCTCTCTCTCTCTCTCTCTCTCTCTCTCTCTCTCTCTCTCTCTCTCTCTCTCTCTCTCTCTCTCTCTCTCTCTCTCTCTCTCTCTCTCTCTCTCTCTCTCTCTCTCTCTCTCTCTCTCTCTCTCTCTCTCTCTCTCTCTCTCTCTCTCTCTCTCTCTCTCTCTCTCTCTCTCTCTCTCTCTCTCTCTCTCTCTCACACTCACACACACACACCCACTCTCTCTCACACTCACACTCACACACACACACTCACACACACGCACTCACACTCACACGCACGCACACACACTCACCCACACACACTCACTCACACGCACGCACACTCACTCACACACACGCACTCACACTCACACGCACGCACACTCACTCACACTCACGCTCACTCACTCACACTCACTCACTCACTCACGCACGCACACACACTCACTCACTCACACTCACGCACGCACACACACTCACTCACTGACACACACTCACGCACACACACATACACTCACACGCACGCTCACTCACACACATGCGCTCACTCACTCACTCACACACACATACTCGCACTCACTCACTCACTCGCTCGCTCGCTCGCTCGCTCGCTCGCACGCACGCACGCACGCACGCACACTCGCACACACACACACGCACACACGCACGCACGCACACACACACACACACAC